CTCTCTCCCCAACTGTCAACCCTCTCTATTTGACTCAGTTTCCTTATGTTTGTCTCTACACAACTACATACTTTGTGCTAGTGATTATTTTGCTCCCCCCCCCAACCGTCACTTGTATTAGTCTTTTGAGAATGTATATAACGTTTAATTAGTAACAATCATTGTCATTTGACGTCTTAGTGTCCTACAGAATGTTCTGTCTTTGCCAACTCCTCCCTTTCTCTCTCTCTCTCTCTCTCTCTCTCTCTCTCTCTCTCTCTCTCTCTTTATTAGTCCTCCTAAATCTGATTATTAAGCCTTCCAGCCCCAGCTTCTTTTGTGCTCTACCTAACTCCCTAACCCCACTCCCAGCCAATACACCAGTATTTCAGAAAAAGAGGCAGGCTATTCTAAAATGTTATGTAGTATCTTTGTAATGAGGTTAGATAATAACATTTGATAATGTGTAAAGGTAAATGAACAAATATTCTGAAAATTAAAGTTCAGTTAGGTTCGCTATTTTTGAAAAATGTGCAAATCTGGTACCCCCCGAAACTGAGAATACGCTCTTGGGACGGTGGGAGGTACAAGCACTGCTAAAAAATATACGCGCATGGCTTTGGAAGGGTTAAGCATAACAATCCATTTTGAGCGGGGGGGGGGCGGGGTCTAAATTTGAGTTACCATAAATATATTATTGTATTTGTTGCTTTTACCATAAGCATCATCTCTCCATTTCTCTCTTTTTATTTTGAAGACACGCTGTTTTGAGACACGTTAAAAAAAAACACAAGCACAACTTCGTTATTCATAAAGATTTCTCTACTTTGTTTCCTTTATCTGAAACTTTAAAAGACAAGGAACAACACGTATACAATGAAATATGCAAATTTGTTTTGCTCATTTATGTAAGACTGTTCGTTATTAATATGCTCCAACATTACCTTTGGTCAGCTGCTGGACCAAAGAGTCAGTGTTGTGCTCACTGCAAATACAAATACAGTTGATCTTTGCGATGTCCACAGGCCTTTCCAGTCAAAACTTTAAAACGTAGGGTACCTTTGAAACTTAGGGTACCTTTGAAAAAGTTATCTGAGTAACATTTTCCAAATTCCAAAACTCGACACGCCTCAGCTCACAAGACTCACTTTTGATTTGTGTATGAAACCACTTGGTAACATTTCGTCGTTACAAGCAACACACACTGGGAGAATTTGTATTCATGTACAAACGTGTAAATTATTTTAAAGTAACGCAAAGCGCTATGTATTTATCACCTAGGTGTTTTACACTCCCATCGACACAGTTTAGATCATGAAGGAGGCGGGCTTTCTACCCTAGATGTCAGGAACAACCCGGGTTGAGAGGAATAACACATCCCAGCATGTACTGGTGGGAAGATGTATTCCCTGAGTCTGGGACGAAACTGGTATCTTTCCTTAGATAGAGATGAAAATCGCTTCGTCTATTGGAGCATAATTAACATAATTCCAAATTAGAGGCGGCTACACTGAGTCTGATTGTGAATGAAAACAATAACGGAATTCATATGTACTCTCGCCAAAATAATCAAGGAATTCATATTATTTCATTTTCTGGCCAAAACAAAATTAAAACTTTTAAACTGCGGCAGGTATAGTGTGGTCTCAAGATTTTTAAGAGTATTTATATGAGAATGATATTATACAAACAGAAGGCCCTGAAGTATGGGTCATTATACTTTTATAATGATTATCAATTTGGTTCTATATTTGGCTGGGTTGAATTAGCCTTTCGTGGCCAGGAGTTGATGCCATAATCATGGTGTGACCTGATTATAGGTCGATTAAAAGTTTAGGATGAAAGTCACGCACTCACGGCAGCCATGAGCTGAGGAAAACTCGAGCAGAGTGGTAGTTAGTTCATGTATAATCAATGCTTATGAGAGTGGCCTGAAAAAGGGGAAGGGGGGGGGGTTAGGTGGCAATGTGACTACCGAGTATGGTGCGCATTGGTGATTTCACGAACGTCGATTTGAATTTGGTCGCTTTTAAGCACAAGGGGGCTATCCCGAAAAATGCTGTTTTTAGAAAATCGAAGGTAAAGTTTTTGCCCCTTGTCCAGTTTTTTTTAAAAGACGGGGAGAGTTTTCTCAATAACCAACAAATATACACACCAATGAAACCAAATTTCTCCTATAGGTAGGGCAATGCCCTCTTTTGGTGTAGGTTAAGATTTCTAGAAACCCCCAAAATCTGGGTTAGCCCGCTTGTCCTTAAAAGTGAGCATTTATAAGGCCTACGCATTCCCATGTGGAGTGAATTTGATTGTCGTAGATTGTAAGTAGATTATAAGTGATTATTTAACAGTTTGAACGCTTTGCTCCTGTCAATTTTAACGTTTTATAATCCCCGACACTTAATATGTTCTTGCTTTTCCTTCACCAGATGCCCACGAAAATACGGTGACCGTGCTTCTGGACGGCGAGGAGTCAACCATCGAGTTCATTGACCCTTTGGACAGAAACGTGAGCGGGCTTTTAGCTGTAGTCGTTCCATATAATTTTACGATAGTGGTGTGTGTGTCCTCAGAAGTTGACTGGCAGATCTAATAGTTCTAGCTCTTCCCATCTTGTGGATTGTCCCACTTGGTTAGCACTCTCGTCTTGTCCTTTGTCACTCTGTTTCTCACTATTACTCTGCCTGTCTGCCTACCTGACAATCTGTCTGTCCATCTGTCTCTGTCTCTCTCTTTCTCTGTCTCTGTCTCTGTCTCTGTCTCTGTCTCTCTCTCTCTCTCTCTCTCTCACACACACACACACACACACACACACACACACACACACACACTCACTCACTCTCTCTGTCTCTCTGGAAAGAGACAGACAGACAGACAGACGTGCATGCTTTTTCTCTCCCAAAATATCGGTTGTGTGTATTTGTGTGTCTGTTTATATGTCTACAAATATGTAAGTGTACGAGTGTCGATAAGTGTATAATATATTATTTCGCTGGCTGGGTACAAGAACCCTACAAGCGCCAATTTGCAATTTTTCAGGAGAGCCAAAAAAACGTATTTATTTTTATACCCTTCCATTTCGGAAAACGACACTCAGATAATTATATTGTTCGCATTTGTTTTGTGCATTTATGATCATGCTGTATTAACTTACAACGACACATAATTGAAGACGAAAACACCCAAAAATGTGCCTTTTTCGCTTTAAGGCACTCATGTTCCCTTTGTGCAATAGTCCGACAATGACCCTTGTCGGGTTATTCCCCTCCCAATAATTGCACAAAAGCCGACAAGGTAGAAATCCATATATTGCGTTATCCCTTCCCTCATCCAGCCCCGTTTTCCATTGCGGGTGGTTGGCGGGTTCTATGGTGTGGTTTGCTCCTTCTTTCAAATAAATCATCTATCGTCTTTACCCCTCG